GTTATTTTACATCATTCAATTTCAAATTTATTTTTCTGTGATTTTCACTGGGGAAAATATACCAAAAGAATGTGCCAAAAAGCTTAAACCATAGGTGATTGTTGCATAGGGTTTCATTATACTATTTTTTCTACTTTTATATATAATTATAAATTTACATAAGTTTTAATATAGTAAAACATATATATGGAAAAATTATATTTAATTATAAACCAATAATATCACATCTGTTATTTTTTCACATTTGTTATTGACTGTTTAAAAAACTTACATCTTATGATTTAAGAATATAACATTTGTAATATATCACATTAACAGAATAGAAGATAAAAACCACACGATTGAGGTCAGGAGTTCAAAACTAGCCTGAGCAAGAGTGAGACCCCCGTCTCTAATATAAATAGAAAGAAATTAATTGGCCAACTAATATATATAGAAAAAATTAGCCATGCATGGTGGCACATGCCTGTAGTCCCAGCTACTTAGGAGGCTGAGGCAGGAGGATTGCTTGAGCCCAGGAGTTTGAGGTTGCTGTGAGCTAGGCTGACACCATGGCACTCACTCTAGCCTGGGCAACAAAGCGAGATTCTGTCTCAAAAACAAAAACAAAAAACAAAAAAACCCCCACATGATTGTCTCACTTGAGGCAGAAAAAACATTTGACAAAGTTCAACATCCTTTCTTGACAATGACTCTAACTGTTTAGGTATAGAGGGAACATTTCTCAATGTAACAAAGGCCATTTATGAAAAACTCATAGCTAATACCATAATCAATGGGGAAAAAGCTAAAGATTTTCTACTCAGATCCAGTACAAGGCAGGGGTACCTGCTCTTACCACGTTGATTCACCATGGTGCTGGAAATACTAGCAAAAGTAACCAGATAAGAAAAAGAAGTAAAAGACACCCAAATTGGAAAGGAAGAAGTAAAATTATCTCTATTTACAGATGACATGATCCTATATGCAGAAAACTCCAAAGATTCTGCAAAATAAGAATTAAAACTAATAAATTAACTCAGTAAAGTTGAAGGATACAAAATCAACATACAAAAATCAGTAGCATTTCTATACATAAATAGCAACCTAGCTGACAAAGAGATCAAGAGAAAAATCCCATTTATGATAGAATCAAAAAATTCACATAAAATACTTAGGAATAATTTTAATCAAGGAGAGAAAAGATTTATATACCAAAAACTATAAATCTAGACACTGATGAAAGAAATTGAAGAAAACACAAATAAATGAAAGACATAAATAAAGGGAAGGATATCCTGTGTACATGGATTAGAAGAATAAATATTATCAAAATGTTCAAACTACCCAAAGCAATATACAGTTTCAACCCAATCCCCATCAAAATTCTAGTGGCATTCTTCACAGAAATAGAAAAAACAATCATAAAATTCATGTGAACTACAAAAGACTCAAGTGGCCAAAGCAATTCTGAGAAAGAAAAGCAAAGTTGGCAGCATCACCACTTCCTGATTTAAAATTATATTACAAAGCTGTAGTAATCAAAACAGTACAGTAATGGCATAAAAACAGAAACAACATAATAGAGATCTCAGAAGTGAATGCAAACATATGCAATTTTTGGTAAGGGTATCAAGAGGATACAATGAGAAAAGGATAATCTCTTCAATAAATGGTGCTGGGCAAACTGGATTTCCACATGTAAAAGAATGAAAGTGGACCCTTAGATTACACCATACATAAAAATCAACTTAAAATGGATGAAAAACCTAAATGTGGCCGGGCACGGTGGCTCACGCCTGTAATCCTAGCACTCTGGAGGCTGAGGCGGGAGGATTGCTTGAGCTCAGGAGTTGAAGACCAGCCTGAGCAACAGTGAGACCCCCGACTCTACTAAAAATAGAAAGAAATTAGCCAAAACAACTAAAAATAGAAAAATATTAGCCAAGCATGGTGACACATGCCTGTAGTCCCAGCTACTTGGGAGGCTGAGGCAGGAGGATCGCTTGAGCCAGGAGTTTGAGGTTGCTGTGAGCTAGGCTGACACCCTGGCACTCTAGCCCAAGCAACAGAGTAAGACTCTGTCTCAAAAAAAAAAAAAAAAAAAACCTATATATAAGACCTGAAACTATAAAATTCCTAGAAGAGAACATAGGGGGGAAAGCTCCTTGACATTAGCCCTGGCAATAATTTTTTGGATATTATACCAAAAGCTCAGACTACAAAAGCAAAAATAAATAAATGGAACTATATCAAACTAAAAAGTTTCTGCAGAGCAAAGAAATTAGAAATTAGAAATAAATTAGCTGGCCAACTAAAAATATATAAAAAAAATTAGCCGGGCATGGTGGCACATTGCTGTAGTCCCAGCTACTTGGGAGGCTGAGGCAGAAGGACTGCTTGAGCCCAGGAGTTTGAGGTTGCTGTGAGCTAGGCTGACTCCATGGCACTGTAGCCCGGGCAACAGAGTGAGACTCTGTCTCAAAAAAAAAAAAAAAAAGTGGGCATAGGACTTGAATATACATTTCTACAAAGATGACATGAAAATGGCCACCACAATATATGAAAAGGTGTTTAACATTGTTAATCATCAGGAAAATTAAGATCACTAGGAGATAACACTTCACATCCTTTAGGATGGCTATTATCAAAAGGACAAGAGATACCAGTTGTTGCCAAGGGTGTGGAGAAAAGGGAACCCCTAGTACACCATCGGTGGGAAAGTAGATTGGTACAGCCATTATGGAAAACAGTATGAAGAGTCCTAAAGAAATTACAATTAGAACTACTACGCTCAAAGGCCAATCCCTTGGGGAAAAAAAGAAAAAGCAGTATTAAATAAGATAAAAAATTAAAAAAAAAAAGAACTACTACGCGTTTGCACTTCCTTTTGCTCTCCCTTTGCTGTGACAACGGTGCTAGTCATCATCGGTAGCGTATATATGATGCTCTGTAAACCCATGTCTTGCTCTTGCCCTATAATCCTGTCTTTCTTTCCTCAATAAACCTCATTTTCATGCTTGCCTTAAAAAAACAAACAAACAAAACAAAGACTACTATATGTTCCAGAAATTCCTATTCTGGTTATATACCCAAAGGAGATGAAATCACCACCTCATAAAGATATTTGGATGTTCATTCTAGCATAATTCACAGTAGTAAAGATATGGAAAAAAACCAAAGGTTCATCAATGGATGAATGGATAAAGAAAATGTGGTGTGTGTGTGTGTGTGTGTGTGTGTGTGTGTGTGTGTGTATAACATACTATTATTCAGCCTTAAAAAAGAAGATCTGCCATTCGCCACAACATGGATAGATCTGGAGAACATTATGGTAAGGATATAAGCCTGACACAGAAAGAAAAATATTGCATAATCTCACTTATATGTGAAATATATTTTTTAAAAGGTCAAATACACAGAGATAGAGAATAAAACTTTGATTACCACAGGAAGAGGGCAGAGGGAAGAAATGGGGAAATGTAGGTCAAAGGATCCAATGTAGTAGATATGTAGGATGAACAAGTAGAGATCTAATGTACAAAATGAAGACTACAATTAATAAAATTGTATTGTACTTCAGATTTTTGTTAAGTAGATTTTAGCTGCTCTCATTACAAAAAACCATGTGAGATGACAGAGATGTTAATTTGCTTCAATACAGGAACCATTTTACTATCTATAACATCATGTAAGCCTCAAATATATGATAAAATTTATTTTATTGTTTTTTTTTTTTTTTTTTTTGAGGCACAGTCCCACTCTGTTGCCTGGGCTAGAGTGAGCGCTGTGGCATCAGCCTAGCTCACAGCAACCTCAAACTCCTGGGCTCAAGCAATCCTCCTGCCTCAGCCTCCCAGGTAACTGGGACTACAGGCACGCACCACTGTGCCTGGCTCATTTTTTCTATTTTTAGTTGTTTGGCTAATTTCTTTCTATTTATGTTAGAGACAGGGTCTCGCTCTTGCTCAGGCTGCTTTCAAACTCCTGAGCTCAGGCAATCCTCCTGCCTCGGCCTCCCAGAGTGCCAGGATTACAGGTGTGAGCCACTGCACCCGGCCAATAAAATTTATTTTTAAAAATCTTATGTTTTTATGGTTTAAGAGAATAACATTTCTCATAAATTTTTAAATATTTTATTAATAATATGTTATATTTTTAATATGTAATATAATTAACATTTAACATAATTAGAACAATATATTATCTAAAATGCATTAACTTTTAACAGTTTTATCATTTGCCATGTTTCTAGTGAGAATTAGATTAAAGGGGTAAGTCTTTTCCTTTGAAGTCAACAACTCTTGGTATTTTTATAACAGATAACTCTTCTACTCATTCATTTTCCATCTGACACTCCCCCTTAGGTAGGATTTATCCATAGCCGTGGGGGAAGGTGAATGAATTATAGTCATTTATCTCTGCTGTCAGTTTTCTAGAGTAATTAACGTGTTTAGTTTTGCTTGAAAGAGGATTTAGAAGTGTTATTTCATGTTCAGTGCCTTTAGGGTTATAGTTTTCTTTCTCACAGACAGGCACTACTTCCATGCAAGCTCAAGTAAAGAGGAAAGACAGTATGTCCCATTCAATTTTCCAAAATTTCCCAATTGTACCCAAATGACAAATAGGCCACTCAAATTTGAAAGGCATAGTGAATATACAGTAATTTTAAATGAGTATAAGGAAATATGATGTAACTGAAAATATGGGAAATTTCAAGTTTGCCAGAAGTCAGTCTTACTATTTGCTTTATTTTATATATTATTCTCTGACCATCTCTTCTTAAGTCTGATACACTATTATGCTATTTTATTGCTTTCACTTATAAATATACCATTGGAAAAGGAAAAAACTATTTCCAAGTCTTTCTTATAATTATTTTTCTTTTCTTTTGATTCAGTTGACCTTACGAAACGTTTAACATGTAAAATGAAACATACATTTTGTAAATGTTTTAAAAAGCCGTTCAAAGAATGCTCCCGTCCAGTAACATTATCTTATTTCTTGTTTTCAACACACAGGGTGTGCTCTGTGCAGCTCCCCTAATTTTTATCATTCCATCAGCTTGTTATCTGAAACTGTCTGAAGAACCGAGGACACACTCAGATAAGATTATATCCTGTGTCATGCTTCCCATTGGTGCCGTGGTGATGGTTTTTGGATTCGTCATGGCTATCATAAATCCTCAAGACTGCACCCACGGCCAGGAAATGTTCTACTGCTTTCCTGACAATTTCTCCCTCACAAACATCTCAGATTCTCGTTTTCAACTGACGACGCAACTTTCAACTTTAAATATCAGTATCTTTCGATGAGTTGACTGCTTAAGAAAATATATGTTTTCTTAGACTTCTATACTACATAATAACATTTACACATGCTTTAGTCTCTATTTATATTATAAAACTATCATTCTGGCATTTGTCAAGACTTGCTTTTCTTTACTTTTTAGTGCAATATGAAAGGTAAGAAAGAAAATTGAATGTATTTTACCTTAAACTGGGACAAAATAAATGTTTTTCTTTAATGACTGCCCCACACTAATCCTAACTGAAGAAGGAAAAGTAGAGCCCTTAGCATTTGCTGTCATCCCCTCAAAGCATTACTATTTTATTTTATATTTGAGCCCATATATTGTGCTCCAAAGCAAGTAGGTGATTGTGGGTTGCAATTTTGTGGATGCGTCTTGTAGGAGAAAAAAAGTTATTTAACATCTGCAGAATCAAAGGGAAGGGAAACCCAAAACTATTAAAAACAATAGCTATCCCAAGGGCAAAGAGAAGCTTTCCATTATAATTTCAGTAGCATCCCTTTTTCAGAGGGAAGTAGATTCCTGTAGAAAAGAGCAAAGACCTCCCCATGTGAAGAAGCATGAATAATAGACCGGATGTGCAGAGCAAGGCATGTGAGCCACCAGAGTTATCTCCCAACTTTTGATGCTCTGGGAATAAAATAGTAATACCCTTATGAGGCAGAAAACACACACACACTGTTCTGAGGCAAAAGCATAAGAGATCAGTTATGCCTCAGATTTGGACCTGTTGCATTTGAAGTACCATCAGGAACATACAATCAGAAGCTGAACTTTTAGGCTGGAAACTTATAAGAAGAATCAGGACTACAGAAGAGGCATTCTCACTCCTCTGGGGGGTCCTCAGAGAGATCTGGGGGAGCCCTTGTTCATGGGGTTCTTTGGAAGCAGACACTGAGATGGAGTCTGTCATAATAGGAGAGAGGAGGGTAAGCACAATTGGGAGGGGAAATTGGAACTGCATGCAGGCTGACAAAGCCTCAGCCAACCCCACATATATGACCCATCAGAGTTCTCCCTGTTCAGAGGAACTAACCGGGTTTTAAAACTGCTGCCTCTATCAGTGAGGGCACCTGGGGAAGGATGAGCCCTTGGGCTCAGCAGCTCTTTGCAGCTGAGCAAACTCTAAAGGAACTGAGAGCCAGAGGCTGGCTGCTGATAGCCAGGGCACCACACACTTCCTCCTAGGGGGCATCTAGGAGACACAGCTGTGCCCACCACAGATGCTCTGGGTTTTTAATGAGGATTTTTTTTTATGCCTTTTAATGAGGATTTCATATCTTCATATCTATGGCAATATTTTAAAAGTAGCAGATGAAAATTTGGGGCCATCTGGACAGCTTCCTTATAGCAAGTATCACCCAAGAGTATATTTCTCACCTTTTCATCTGTATTTCAACCAGGTTGACCATCTGTAGTACAGTATTATTGTTGCCAAGTAATGAGAAAATATTGCAAGCAGAGTTAGTACATATATGATGTGTTTATACAAATTACAGGCAAAAAAATTTCCACAGGAAGTATATGAAGAATAGGTTCACAGTAGTTTGAATAAAGTGGTAAGAGCTGAGTCATCCCGTGAATCACAGCGAGAAAGGCCCATTGAACACAAAAGAACCTGCTGGCAGAACCGTGCTCAGGATAGGAGGGGTGATTTTTTTTTTTTCAGTAAAAGATCATCCGTGCCACTAAATTACTTTAAATTTTGTTGATTGTATAGCTTTTCTGTATTTAAGTTGTAAATTTGTTTTTTATAATTAAGAGTCATAAAGCTAAGTAGTTAGTGACTATTTTTAGATGGGTACATTTGGGTAAAATAATAATAAAAATGCTTCATTGCAGACTGAGGGAACATGAGAAATTTTTGTAGCAGTTCATTATTACTCAAGACTGAGAAACACTGACCTACATAGTTATTAGATAAAGTCATGAGAGATGAGATTTCCAAGAGTGTACAAAAAGAAGCACGTCAAGGATAATGTAATTTAGCACTTAACCATCTCTTATCTTGTACTTTGGTGTTGCTTCAGACGTGTTAACCTTGACTCTTCAAGGAGATGAAACACCCAGTAGGAACTGGGCGCAGTGTTAATACCTGATGAATATTTGTTGGTTTGTTTGTTTTTAATCAACTATAGATCAAGATTGCCTTTGACCCTGTTAGTAGCTGCGTGGATTACCACATCTTTCAAATTAGAATCAAGAAATCTTAGGAATTCACAATTATTTTGCAAAAATACTTGTATGTTTACTTTGCCACCATGCAGAACTGCAAGAACCTCCTCCCCACCCCACCCCCGGCCTTAGTCTATGTTCTGTCTCAATTTAATATATTTCCACTGAAATTCATTCCTTCTCTGCTACTTGTTGCTCTTAACAAAGCAACTTGAAGATTTTAAGCCAGTTTTTGAAACTGTCACTACATTTAGACTTATAAAATGCTTCCAATTTTTAAGAAGATGGTGGCGGGCAGCAATAGTATCTTTATACATAAACGTGAACATCTAGCAATATATTTCCTTTAAGGATGTAAACTGGATGGCATTTGTGTAATTGAGGAATTGGGTCCTTGCCCACTTCACTTATTATGGAATCTTTTTTTTTTTTTTGAAACAGAGTCTCACTCTGTTGCCTGGGCTAGAGTGCCTTGGTATCAGCCTATCTCCCAGCAACCTCAAACTCCTGGGCTCAAGCAATCCTTCTGCCTCAGCCTCCCAAGTAGCTGGGACTACAGGCATGTGCCAGCATGCCTGGCTAATTTTTTGTATATATTTTTAGGTGGCCAATTAATTTATTTCTATTTTTAGTAGAGCCGGAGTCTCGCTCTTGCTCAGGCTGGTTTCGAACTCCTGACCTTGAGTGATCCTCCCGCCTCGGCCTCCCAGAGTGCTAGGATTACAGGCGTGAGCCACCGTGCTCGGCCTTATTATGAAATCTTTAATCTCAACACTACTTGAGCTATCTTCAAAAATCAGAACGGAGGCCGGGCGCGGTGGCTCACGCCTGTAATCCTAGCACTTTGGGAGGCCGAGGCGGGCGCATTGCTCAAGGTCAGGAGTTCGAAACCAGCCTGAGCGAGACTCGGTCTCTACCAAAAATAGAAAGAAATTAATTGACCAACTAAAAATATATATACAAAAAATTAGCCGGGCATGGTGGCGCATGCCTGTAGTCCCAGCTACTCGGGAGGCTGAGGCAGAAAGATCGCTGAGCCCCGGAGATTGAGGTTGCTGTGAGCCAGGCTGACACCACGGCACTCACTCTAGCCTGGGCAACAAAGTGAGACTCTGTCTCAAAAAAAAAAAAAAAAAATCAGAACGGGTAAATGGCCTTGGTTTGCAATGTTTCCAGTGATGCCAGGCAATAATTGTTGCCTCTTATCTTTCCTAAAAGGAGAGTGAATCCAGGTTATCAAACTAAGAAAATTCCAACTAGCCATCGGCTGAAGTCATGTACACATCTGCTTAACTAAAGATACATTTATTAGACAGGAACAGTCCTCTGTCTGGTTTATCTGCTGTGCCTCTGCTTAGGAAATGAGTAATAGTCTGTTTTTTAAGTAGAGGTGGCCACTGATTGGACCAGAGGTTGTCAGGTCATCCAAGAGTGGCTCAAGCATGGCCCAGTGACCATGAGATAGGGTACCTATAAATGCTGTACTGACTATGGCAGGATAATATTAAATAATTAGATATACCAATCAGATAAGCTCTTTTAAAAATATATGCTTATTCTTCCAGGATCATAGAGCAAATATGCCAGGTGGACCAGAGACACATAAACCAGGAGAGAAAGAGCAGTCATTCTCTGGGGCAATGGTTCTTAAACTTGAGCCTGTGTCAGAATCACCTGCAGGGCTTGTTAAAAACACAGATTGCTGGGTCTCCTCCCCAGAGTTTCTGATTCAATACTCTGGAGTGGGACCTGAGAATTTGCATTTCTGAAAAGTTCCCAGGTGATGCTGATGCTGTTGGTTAATGACTATATTTGAATAAGTTTGGTAGTTGGACATAAGAAAGTGCTAGGTGGGACCATCTGTTTGAAGGGCGAGGCAATATATAAGTAAGATGTAGTAATATCATGCTGGAGCTCAGGGAAGAAACTGAGGCTGGAGACATAGGAGGGAGAGCAATTGTCACATACTAAACGGATCTTTCCTTTGTCTCATTGAAAAATCATCTAGAGACACAGAGGGAAGAGGAGAAACCACAACAGTAAGATTAGTGAAGAGTAATGACGAGGGAGAGGGAAGGAGAATTAAGAACAAAGGAGAAAACAGAGATTACCACCTAAAGTCAACACAGCTGTGGTGGTTACGCTGCGGGCTGGATTGGAGCCTGCTGGCATTCAGGGAAAACTGCCTGAGCTTCATAGCTCGCAACGTGAGAAGGGAGAAAATATAACAGTTCCTCAAAAGTACACCAAGTTTTCTAAGGACTAAACTTTCAAAAGAATAGCCTACTTGGAAAATTGCGTAGAGAACGTAAGACTAGATTATGAATAATGTTTTTGAGAATATCATGCAGATAAAGAATTCATGTGGCTCTCTTGTATAAGATGCTTTATCATTCTATTAATGTTTACTCCTCAAGAGTGAAGATTAGCAATATATTTATCTTTGGCATTTTTATTATATTATTCATTTATAGGAATATGTAATTGCTCCATTCAAACAAAAACAAACAAATGAAAACCAAATCTACTGTCCTTCATTCCTAACTCTCACCTAATGCCCATCCTTCCCAACTCACACCCAGACTGACCATGGCCTCTTACCTGATCATCCTGCTATTACCAAAAGTGCTGTACTTGTCCCTCAGGCCCAATGAAGAACAAGGACAAGCAGTTTGAGGAAAAAGAGAGAGAAGATTATTAATTTGCCAGCAAATGAGGAAGATGGCAGACCCTCGTCTTAAAGAACCATTGTCCTCCTTCATGCATAGTGGTTAGTATTTGATATATTGCTTTACTCTGTCTTCTTCACTTATGGTTATATTACCATGCTTACCTCAGAGTGCTAGGAAGGGTCTCCTATAAACTATTCCGTAGGGGCTTAACTTAAGCCTGCTTCTAGGGGCTACCCTTATCTGAAGGAGGCAAGTGGCAACACCTTATCCCAGTTGAGATGGGTTTCCTGTATCAATTTTGCTATAGTTTTTCTTTAAAGTATGATTAATTTTCCCCGTTTTTCCCATAGAATGAGGTCTCCTGGATGCATGCAATTTTCCTTCTAGATGCAGGGCTTTGCTTACTTGCTGAGTTACCACCAACATAAAGGAGGGTCCATTATCACTCTGTATGGAGAAAGGGAGCCCATATCTTAGAATAAGTTCTTTCAGAAGGATCCTGGTAACTTCAGATACTCTCGCTATTTGGGTAGAATAAGCCTCTACCCAGCCTGAAAAGGTCTCTACTAATACAAGCAAGTATTTGACATTTCCAGTTGTTTTAGGCATCCGAGTGAAATCAATTTGCCAGTCATCAGAAGGGTGGGTCCCCACATACTGAGTTCCCTGTGCAGCAAGTCGCTTTTCTGTCTTTGGATTGTTTTGAGCACATAAAGTACAACAAATAATGTTATTTGTTGGATAGTTTGTTGCAAACAGTGGCCTCTTAAATGAGGTCCCACAAAATCCACTAAGATACCACGCCCATAATGTTTGCATTCGTGTAGGTGCCTCATAAAGGGGCTGAACCAAGGCTTCAGGTAAAGGAATGAGTCTATTAAAATTCTATTTCCACTTAGCCGTGTCATCCCAAGTGTCAAAGCTTTAGCTTTTAGTTTGTGTGTGTATATATCTATATATCTATATAGCTGAGGTATCAAGACTTAGAGGAATAGATCAACTTTAGTAGCCTCCTTAGCAGCTCTGCCGGTGGCCTAAATTTTTTGCAACATAAATGTCTCCCTTTTTTGGTGACCAGGACAGTGCATGATGGCCACCTGCTTGGGCTCAGCCACAGCCTGTAACAGGGCTATTATTTAAGTGGCATACTTAATATCCTTACTTCCTGCCATCAGGAGCCCCCCTTTCCTTCCAAATGGCACCACGAGCATGCACAACCATAAAAGCAAGTTTAGAAATGTTTACCTTTTTTCCTTCAGATAACTGAGAAGCTCTGGTTAAAGCAATCACCTCGGCTTTCTGGGCTGCAGCACCAGGCGACAGTGCCATTGCTTTCGGTACCTGCTGCTGTTCCATGACCACTACATATCCAGCCCTTCCTTGTCCATTGTCCATAAAACTGCTTCCATTTGGTAAAAAGATTCCAATGTGGCTCTGGCATTGGCTGATCTGACAGATCCGTCCTACGAGAGCCTCTAAACAGTCACGCTGTGAAGGCTCAAAACAACTCACAAGTAGCTGCTACTGCCCGGAGGCAAGGAGGCCAATCCCTCACAATATTGTCCAGTGGCTTTGACAAGTATGCCACCAGCAATGGGATGTCTCCCAGCATCTGTACTAAAACTCCAAGGCTAATTCCTTGTTTTTCTCATGAACATATAATTTAAATTCTTTCTGTAAGTTAGGCAACCCTAAAGCAGGGGCAGTCATAAGACTCTGCTTTAGTTTTTCAAAGGCATTTTGATAGTAAGTGGTCCAGATCAGGGGCTCCACATCTGTCCCTTTAAGGCCCTCATAGAAGGGCTTTGCTACTAGTCCAAATATTGGGATCCAGATGCGACAGGACCCTGCCATTCCTAGGAACCTGCCCACCTGTCTTTTATTTTAGGGCACCTTAAGATTCAAGATGACTTGCTCTCAGTCTGACATTAGGCTACAGGGTTACTTGCTAATTTGGAATCCCAAATAAGTAACCTGCTATTTGCAAATCTGCACCTTTTTGGGTGATACTTTATAACAGAATCCCTCGGTCCAATTGCAGCTTCCACAAGTCCCTGGCTAAGCTCTCACTAAAGAGGGGAGGAGTTTTTGTAAATACTTGAGGCAACACGGTCCAGTAGTGCTGTGAGGCCATCCTAGTCTCAGGATCCTGCCATTTCACTGTGACTTCATAGGCACTTGTACAATATCATTAATGACACACAGATCCTGCACAAATCTATACTCATTGGTGTGGGGAATTTAAATTTTTTCTGCATGTCCCGGGGTCCCAGCGGACCATACAGCCTTCCTCACATTTTGGTAGACCTCAGGAGGAATAGAATTGATTCTTCTTGCAAATGATGTAGTTGCGGTCAAAGATGTGCAAGTCTGCCGAGGCCCAAACTTCACAAGGAACTGCTCCACAGTGGCAGCCTCCCATGTGCATCACCAGTCCCTTGTATTCAAAAGCTGCCCAGCAGGAGCTTGGCAATGCCCTTGGAGGT